ACTTTATTGATCTCACAGTGAAGAAAATTTACCTTTGCATTTACCCATCCCCTTGGGGAGCAGTGGGCTGCCATTGTGGGGCCCCAGGGAGCAGTGTGGGGTTAAGTGTCTTGCTCAGAGATCCAAGTGGGAGTGCACTGGAAAAATCGAAATCTAGATAAGTCAATTTTCTTAAAATAAGTGCATTTGTTCTTGGATTGAGGAGGTAAAAGAGACATTTTGCCAGTGGAACGAGAATTTACACTTAAAATAAGAAAACACAATTGCATTGTCTTTTTTCAAGTGCATATTATCTAATTATCTTATTTTACGAGTAAAAATACTCATTCCATTGGAAAAATATCTAATTTGCCGACACAAATTAAGGGTAAATACACCTAATTTAAGACATACTCTGGATCATTTTTCCAGTGTGGGGCTCGAACTCAGAAACTCAGGATTCCAAGCTTAATGCTCTAACCCAGGGGTCACCAACGTGGGGCCCATGGGCACCAAGGGGCCCTCAAAGACAACATGGGGTGCCCACAGCATCTTTTGAAAACAGAACAATTCACCAGTGGACTAAATCTGAAATGTTATTTTTTACTGAAGCTCTTATTTTGAAGCATTGTATCATATCAATAAATTAGAACATTTGAGGATTTATATGGATTTCATAATGAGAATATCTAAAAGCAAATTAAAAATGAAAAGAAACAATAGAAATATGTTTATTATCTATGAAGTTCAGGTGAACGCCGACTCCTCCAGTTCATATGTCAGTATTGGTAGCCCTTCCTATGACTCAGTACCCATAAAGTAGCCCTCAGCCTTAAAGGAATAGTACACCCAAAACATGATTAGCCTTCATTTTCTACTCACCCCCATGCTGAACAACACTCTGGAGTACTTTTTTGATATCTCAAATGCATCTGGAGATCTGGGAGGCTTCTTGCTGTCTGCTGACATTCAAATAATGGAGGTCTATGGCGCCCGAGACAGAAAGGTCCATAAAAGTCCACAAAAAACGTGTCAATATTCCTCCATACTGCTCGTCCAATGTATTCCAAGTGTCCTGAGTGGGTAGCATCCAGAATTTACTCGAAACGAAGTCATTTAGAATGTTTTTAGAGCATAAACAGTAGTGTATAGGATTTCCTAAAAGCGCGCGCCTGCGAGTTCACGAGTCTACGGAAACCGCGGCAGACCAAACCAGATGAAAGTGCGCATTCAGCTTGGCAAAGAACTCATGCTCTTCCTCAACACTGAAGTCCTCAGACATTTTTCTTTCGTTGTTTCTTTCTTTGCACAGGTAAACAGCACATTTCTTCTTCTACGCTTGCATTATCGGCAGAGCAGACGCTGAATGCGCACTTTCATCTGGTTTGGTCTGCCGCGGTTTCCGTAGGTTTCCGTAGACTCGTGAACGCGCTTTTAGGAACTCCTATACACTACTGTTTATGCTCTAAAAACATTCTAAATGACTTCGTTTCGAGTAAATTCTGGACGCTACCCACTCAGGACACTTGGAATACATTGGACGAGCAGTATGGAGGAATATTGACACGTTTTTTGTGGACTTTTATGGACCTTTCTGCCTCGGGCGCCATAGACCTCCATTATTTGAATGTCAGCAGACAGCAAGAAGCCTCCCAGATCTCCAGATGCATTTGAGATATCAAAAAAGTACTCCAGAGTGTTGTTCAGCATGGGGGTGAGTAGAAAATGAAGGCTAATCATGTTTTGGGTGTACTATTCCTTTAAAAAAGTTGGTGACCCCTGCTCTAACCCATAGGCAGCCACTCCCCTAATAGGTCTTATCTGCTAAAATCAAAGATAATTTTTTTTTACCAGATTATTTTATTTCTACACTGAAAAGATGATCTAGAAATAAGTGAAAATTTCTTAAATTAGGTGCATTTACCCCTTAATTTGAGTAGTTTGCCAATGGAATGAGTATTTTTACTCTTAAAATAAGATAATTAGATAACATGCACTTGAAATAAGACAATGCAATTGTGTTTTTTTTTATTTTAAGTGTAAATTATCGTCTTCCATTGGCAAAATGTCTCTTTTACCTCCTCAATCCAAGAACAAATGCACTTATTTTGCGAAGAAATGACTTATCTAGATTTAGATTTTTTCCAGGGTATTTTAATTTCTGTTGAGTATGCTTTCAGTTCAGGGGCCAAGGACCAATGTTAAAGGGGTGCTGGCCCCTATATAGAACCATGTTGGTAGGCCTACAGTACAAACCATCATGCCCTGGGAAAATAAGTGAACAATTTTTTTTTTATTGCTTATTTTATTTTTAAAGAAAGTATAAATATTTCAGCGCACAATGGTGTAGTAGTTGGAGAAGAGCTCCTCTCCTGCTGGTATGTCTCTGAGCGACACAAGGACAACACAGCGCAGAGGTCTCTGGGTACAGTGGCTGTAGTTGACGTTTGGCAGAAACTGGCGGAGCTCAATGGGAAAGCTTTTGGGGACGTCGTATTCCTGGTAGCAGACGTTAGCAGGCCTCTGGTTGGAACAGTTGTTGACATACTGGCCAACAGCCAGTGGATTACGTGGACTGTCCGTCAACCAACTGGTGTCACTGGTCAGATAGGGACCCATTCTGTCTCTGCCGCTGCATGACCTGAACACCATTCTGGAGATCCCTTTGTCATTCCCATCAACCAGGACGCCATCAATACACCTGAATACGAAGGGGTTCCTGATGGACTGAAGGAGGATGGGCTCATAGGGCTGATACACTGTGCCAGGATACATGACAACTGGAGCTCCTTTGGGAACAACTCCTTTAACCACAAACACGCCAGTCCCTGCAGAGGGTAAAGAACTGGGCCTCCTCTCAACACAGAATCCCAGAGACTGAAACAGAACTTCTCCTTCCTTCTGCTCCTGATGTGTTGGGACCCTGTGGTCTCCAGGTAGCAGCCCCCCGCTGCTCCTCAGGAGGGCCCTAAAGAGCCTCTGCAGACTCTCAGTGACCTGTTCATCTGACACAACTTTGTCTTCCGAGCGATCCGCCACCAGTCGCAGGGTTTTCTCATTCTTAGGCAGGTTAAACACAACCCAAGGCACGAAGCGGTATCGGTAAGATCGCCATTTCTCCTGAAATCTCCGGAGAGCCGCTGAAAACATCCAGAGGCACGAAAAGACCAGGAAGCAGCTTGTGCTGCGTTCAAGGTACCTCCGGAAGGAATGACGTCCGCCCGGCGAGCTAGCCAGCTAGCTTATATAGTCCTTTTTCGTCATCAACCTCACTGTACTACTTACTAAACATTATATACATACATTTAAGTTCAATAATAAAAAAAATATAATATCTTTATGAAAGTCCTTCCATTAATTCAAAAGCAGTAAAAACTAAATTTATTGCATAGGTTAGAACATCTCTACGTATAACTTCTTGCCTTTTTTTTTTTTTTTTTATATTTCTATATTTTTCTTTTTCCATTTTTTTCTTGCAATATGTCGATGTTTTAAGTATGTTTCATAACGGTTCCTTGGGAATAATAGATAATATAGTCTGTATTCCACTACTCTATAAACTGCCAGAAGGGCGGTTTATATAATATCATAATATAATTGAGTTTTTTTATTGTTATTATTTTTATTTACATAGTGAAGTATATACAGGTATGTACTCCAATAAAATAAATGCTTTCAGACGTAAGCTCCGAGTAAACATTGAACGCACCATCGCTACTTCCGGCCTGTTTTACAACGCTTTAATGTTTTAACAAAAACAATTAGAATTCAACTAATATTTCTTAGCTAAACCACTACACAAATCCATCAAGTGAAAAATATAATAAAACAAAAAATAAATAAAAAAAGTTTGACTTTTGTCACGGGTGTGTTATGTTCTACTTTTATTGTGAAGTGTCGTGTTGCAACCGGAAGCAAAAAAGGCTTGTTTAAAGTGTATAAACTTATTTCGTTAGCTGGATGGAAACGAAATATTAAGCCTTTTCGAGGCAAACATGGTAAGAAATTGTTGTCTTTTCTGGTTAGTTATTAGAATACCAGCGGTTTTCATGTAGAGAAACTGTCGAGTCAATAGAATAAATGTTTTAGCTCGTGCGAGGTTAGCATTAGCTCAGCATTTAATGTTTAGTTAGCTGCTGAGTGAAAGGAAATGCCAAGCCATTTGGATCTTCTTAAATATATCAATTAAAAACACACCTATGATGATGTTGCTGCTATGAATGGACAAAAAGATCATTTCTGTTTAAGGCAAATGATCGAATAAGGTTTGCCATAAAGTGTGCTCTAATTAAAATGGGAAGTGAATGCACTTGTTAGATATGATTGCTAATCTCTTTGTGCTAAAAACGAAGCAATGTACATAAATAGCTATATTATTAACCATTAAATCATAGGTGATTATTTTATTGTTTTTTTATTCTTCTCACTAAGCCACAGTCAGTACATATTTATAAAGGGCCTGTCAATTTTTGATCTGAGCTTTTATCCCTATTTTCGATCTTAAAGGAACAGACTCATATCAGTGTTAAAAGATTTTTTCCCTTTTTAACCATCTTCCCAAATATGTCTGATTCCTCCAATCCAATAGTAAAATACTTTTTTTTTTTTTTGCAAACAAGCCTAATGTTTTTGTTGAATGTACCAAATAATCTAACCGCTCTATAACAGTGGTTTTCAGACCTGTCCTGCATGTTTAGGGGTTTCCCTGCCTCAGTAAACTGGTGTTTAACAGACTTCTGCAGCCCTAAGTGGCTGATGGGGAGGAAAGCATTTATCTGCTGGAGCAGACAGTCATCCACAACAGAAAAAAATGAGGTGCCATGTCTGAAAAACACTGATGAATAATATTGGGTGACTCTAATTGAATTTTCCTTCCAAATATCTAAATATTTGTTTGTTTGTTTTTTTACATCCTATAGAAACAACACAAAGTATGTAAGTCTGATTACAGACAGCCAACAAACCAACTCTGAATTAAACTTAAAGCAGTAAAATTTAGAGATTTAGTTAACTGATACATCAATACATCAAGTAGTACCACAAAAAAAGTGTCCAGATTTTGTTTAAGATAAGGGCATGTACATTTTCCCTTCAAAGCATCACTATCTGTCAACTAAGGGAGTTAAATTATGGAATAAATGTAGTGATGAAATGAAAACATGTAGTTCAATGGTAAGATTTAAAAGGATTTCAGAGTAGAATGCTAGATACATACAGCTCTGAAACTAAATGAAAATTAACTCTGTTGCTGTCTTTTCTGTTGTGGTTTATTTTCCTTTTCTTTATTTGAAACAACGGAAATTTAATAGTGTTGTTTGATATGGTGTGGGAGTCTCTTTAAATTGTCCTACAGATTAATTTTTTGGGTTGAAATGAATGCAAGGGGATAGGCCTAGATCACTTCAACCTCTTTCCTATTTTTGGACAAAAATGAATTACAAAAGTGTGTTCTTGAAAGAAAAAAAATATTAATTAGATAAGGCAGGAATATGTACATACTTTGATATCTTTACAAACTTTTCTGTCTGACACAATACACATTTACCAGACAGAAGAAAAAGTAGTTCCCATCAAATGTCTGCATTTAGGCAATTTTCTTGTTAACATGCATTTCCTAAAACCACTGAAGTATACAAATTAGAATTTAAAAATTGATTTTGAAGCCTAAAGTTCTGGCATCTTGGGTATCTATGTTAGACCCACAAATCACAGTTTGTATATACGTTTGTTTAAAAGTGGGACATTCAAATTGTTGTGTGTGAGCATATGTTACTGATGAAATGTGTAGTGGTGATTGTTGGCCAAGCAAAACATCCAATTAAAGTTCCTTTAAGCCACTACTAAGGCACTGGGGTCAAGTTTCTATACGCAGGCAAAAAGAAGGTTCCATGTCCAAGCATGATGATCGTTCTGGATGGTTTATTTTCTATTTCAGCCAACAATTAAAGAGTACAAACTTTTCCTTTGTCCTACGTCTCTTGCTCTGGTAAAAAACCGTAGGCCCAAACCTAAAATGCCTGCTGGTCCTTTCCCAGGCCCCTACGCTTATAGAAAGTGCACTGATCCACATCACTTCCTGTCATACCTCAGAACAAAATATAAATAAAATAAATAAGAAAAATAATAAAACAAAGAAATAGGATCAACAATTATTAACCTGCAAATAAACTCTCTAAATAATACAAAAATATAAAATTAGGAATTAATTAACACTTGATAACAATAATTGCACAATAAATGCTGCAGCTCGTCTATCTGAAAATAATGGCATATTTAGGAAATGCAGCTGACCTATTTTTTTAATTTATTTATTGAACAATTCAAATTACATATTACTTTGAATTAAACCATCCAAAAAAAAAGTAAAAAAAAAACAATCCGCTGGACTTTGTTTCCAAGTTTGAAGTCGTTTCTCTTCCCATCCAGGAAGCTTTTTCAAATCAAAATGTCAGAAATAGCGTTGAGTTCAAGGCTTTATAGAGTAAGATTATAGATTTGATTTGAAAAAGCTTCCTAGATGGTTTTTCAACTTTTTTAGAACAACTATGATCTAGATGACTGAGAATCTATAACAGCAAGTTTGAATGAAGTATTAAAGTCTTGTAAATGTTCAGTTTTAAATATTCAACAATGTCTCATTGAAAAGGAGAAAAAGGTTTCCTTTCTTGAAAACGTTTTTGCGCAAACGTAATGGAGCTTTTTGACCAATTTTTGAACTCATTAGTGTGGTTGTGCTGTAGGTGGTGGAAAAGGTTGGATATTGGATCCAAGTTTCAGACAAAATTTGCATTTTGTGTTTTTTTGCTCAACATCTATGGCGTAAGAAATGTTGAGTTGAAATCAGCTGCCATGCCCTCATACAATATGAAGTAGGGATGCACGATATTGGGATTTTGGCCGATATCCGATATGCCGATATTTTAAAACTCACGTAGCCGATAACCGATATCGATACCGATGTTAAAGCTGGACAAAAATAAGTAGTCATTGAAAATAGCAGTTTTGTTATCCATTTCTGACACTTTGAAAAATAATATACTCAAATATATTTTCATATGCTGATATCAAATAGATTTTTAAAAACGCGGTATCGATCTATTTTACTTTCAAAATCTCATGAAATTTCATGGTTCTGTTACAAACTCTCGTGATATTTTGCAAATTCTTGTGAGATTTTGTTAGTAAAATAGATCGATACCGCGTCAATATATCAACATATAAAAATATGGCAAAATTTTGTGAATTTTCGGGGGATTTCGTAGCATAACGATGACATATAGCAATATTTCATTAGTAAAAGAGATTGATATGGTGTTTTTAAATGGCAATATATCAGCATATGAAGATATTGTGATATATTAATGTATCAATATTTTTTCCCTCGTCTTTAGAAGTTTTTAAGTCTGTAAAAAAGAAGTTTTTGAGGAAGAAGTAGTAGTATTTTTTTTAGACTTTAGAAACTCAGAAGCTGATCAAATATCGGGTTAAATATCGGTGGGGTGGCCGATGTCCGATATTCAGTTTTAAGGCCAATACAGGCCGATACCGATAGGGGGGCGATTATATCGTGCATCCCTAATATGAAGCTCATGAATAGAGGAAGAAAAAGCAATATAACGGCTGGACAGATATCATTTAGACTTGTCAAAATAATCGTATCAGCATAATCATTAAAAAACCCAAATTGCTCGTTCTATAATGCTAACACTTTGTGTCGTCTCATTTCTTCACGCAGAACAAGCTGAAGTCCTTTCAGAAGGATAAAGTTCGACAGTTTATCATTTTCACTCAAACTAATGAGAAGACGGCTGTAACCTGCTTGTCCCAGAATGACTGGAAGCTAGACGTCGCCACCGACAAGTTTTTCCAGAATCCGGAGCTCTACGTCTCAAATGTTAAGGGGGCTTTAGACAAGAAGAAGCTTGAGCAGCTGTACAACCGATACAGAGGTAAAGAACAGACACTTCTCATCTCCATGTTTGTTTCCTTTTTATTCTATAGAGAAATATTTATTTATTCGTTTATTTGATAGGGACAAGTATGTTTCATGCATCATGTCACACACTACAACATTTTAGCTAAGGCTAATTCTCAATGTCTGTCCCCAGTTAGGCTTTTACACAAAACACAGTGACTGTACACAAGAACAACAGAGCAAATTACACATTAAAACATCACAGAAAATAACATTCATTGTTTATACGGAAATCCTTTTTAATTTGCAGAAGCTTTTTCAGTCTGTGACACCAAGCAGTCGCAGTCCGCTGATTGAGCTCAATCCGAGGGCAGTCAGCTGAAACATCAGAAAGGTTTAAACAATTAGTCTGGATTAATCAGTTATTGAGATAATCTTCAACTAATTCTGTAATCAATTCATTTTTAACTGAACTATAGAGACTCTAAAGTAGCCTTTAGCTGACAAAGCAGTAACTATACCATACCATCAATATGTGAATAGAATAGTCATACCACTACCTCACCGTTGCTCCTTACCTAATACACTTTAACGTAAAAGTAAATCCACCTGTATATAAGCCATCCGGATTGTACATATTTTTATTTTTTATCTCTTATTTCTTATTTTTATTTTCATTCTGTGCGATACATGTACACTTGCACCTTCATCCTTATTTACATTGATATACTGTATATATATATTGTTTATTGTTTATTCTTAATGTACCTTTTTCCTCCTTGTTTGCACCTTTGACTTCTACGCCAATATGTGACAAGTGAATTTCTCCGCCGTGAGATCAATAAAGCTCATCTAATCTAATCTAACCAAAATTGTAAGGAAAACTAAAATAAATGCATCTTTTGAATTTAAGATAAAAAGAAATTCTTTTGTCCATAAATGTGTTCTATCCAGAACTCCTCAAGTGGAATATTTTAGTTTCACCAGGTTTTTCATTCTCTAAAACATCTTCTAGAAATTGCACGATAAATGCTGCGGCTCCTCTATCTAAAAATATTAATAAGTAGTCAAATTAGGAACCTAACAAACAGGACACAGTTTGTTAGACTGAAGGATCAGCTGTCTTATCAAGTAGTCAGCAGCACAGGAGCACCACAGGGGACGGTACTCTCTCCATTCCTTTTTACTCTGTACGTGTTTGAGTTCCAGTACCATACAGAGTCCTGTCATCTGCAGAAATACTGGGAGGACTCTGCAGTCACTGTCCCAGAATGACTGAAAGCTAGACGAAGCTAGCATTCTTATAGTAAGATTTAAATAAAAAGGCCAATTTCTTGTTTTTTTTTTTTTCTTTTTTTTTTACAAATGTTACAGTTACTTTTTTTCAAATGTATGATTTTATAATTTTTTTAATAGATTTTATATTTTTAACTACATTTTTTACAAATTGCGTTCTTCTCATATTGTGTTTCACAAATCACCATTTTTTATTTTAATTTGGTTAAAAAACAAGCAATCCAAACATTACATGTCAGACTAATTACCGTAAATTCTGGACTATAAGCCGCTACTTTTTTCCCACTGTTTAAAGGGATAGTTCGGGATTTTTGACATGAATCTGTATGGCATCCCCATCACCAGTGTCATGCAATCACACTGACTTACCC